GATTTCTCTATATTACAGAAAATCCCTACAGTGTTATGAAGAGGAATTCTAAAGTACTTTAGAAATAATGAACTATCTTAGCTGACTAGAATCTTCCATTTATCTGAATTGATCGACAATCATATGGCTCACATATGCAATGCGATTTGACTTTGCGTTTGCGGTCAAATCATCTTTTTCTGTACTACCATATGTTTTGGTATATTTGACTACAGGATTTGCATTTTAAAGAACTAGAATAATTCCCAGTCCTCATTGATATGCTTTTTATAGTTATATAACTTCTCAGTTCTCTTAAAAAACTCAATAAATTGTTCCAGCTACAGAACAATTTTAGACCTATGACCTTTACTAACTACTAAAACTTTCCCTCTCTGTAGCATGTAGCATTAAAGCCTTGATGCTTTGACTTTCTCACACATCAGGTATTTCTAACAGAAAAATGAGGCCTATTTTGTCCTGACCAAAATGAGAACAGATGGAAGGCTTTATTCTAAAATGTGCTTCACAATTACTAGACCCCAAATTTCTACATGCACAAGACATTTCATGGTGCATAAAGCAAAGATTAATTTTTACCAGCTGTAGTAAAATTTTAAATTAAGGCACTGTACAATTTGGATTTTTAATGTTTATAAAAACTTTAAATCTCATGTAAAAAAATTAGCCAATATTACCTGTAAGAGAAAATCGAAACCAAAATGAACCTTTTGCTCATAACAATGGTTACAAGTGCTTTTGACTTTCCATCTTTCACAAGCGTGTGGTATAATAAGTTCTCGCCATTTTTACCTGTATGTCCATTCTTAGCAGCAGAATACAAGGCAGAATGGCCATCTTCACAGGAGTAATTAATGTCCAGTCCTTCTTCATTAAGCAGCATTGATAATAAAGTGACATTTCCCTGGGCAGCAGCTTGCTGAAGAAGGGTGGGCCTGCCAGCCAGGGGGGCAGGACCACCACTCATTAGCAAAGGGGTTAGGGAGGGTGACCAGCCTGTAGGTTAAAGTGACCCTTGTTAGAGAGTAGGAGCAAGGACAAGAGACAGATATTACCCTTTCCATTCTGAATTATGCACACACGAACATGTGAACATGTATCCCTAGAGGATTATGTGGTTTCTAACATTATCAATCTGTTAATATTTACTTAGCATGAATCTGTACTGTTATTTCAGATCTTATATCTGCTGCTAATTAAATTAACACACATGGTGACAAATTATTTTTAGTTGTCAGTCTTGAATAGGTAAGTGTTAAAGTGGGGACTGGTTTTAGGAAACTAAGATGGCTGTCTCATTTTTAAAAGTTCAAATTCCTTTTCAGCATTTCAAAACAATTTGAATTTTAAAATTATGTAAAGGTTTCCTCAATTTCAATATCAATCTGAAAAAGTGAACTTGATATTATTAGGTAGAAAACAGAAATAATTGTAAGAAATAGAGATTTTTCTTTTTCAACAATGTTTCCAAGGTACTTAATTATACATTTTATACAAACCATTTACATAAACATTAAGATGGACCAAATGCTGTCAAGGAGTCTATTCACATCCTTGAATTCCACTTATTTGGGAAGAAAAAACAATGGGGACCAACTACTATTCAGTATTAAGAGGTAATAGATATACAATATACGTAATTGGATCCAGAATATAATAGCACAAATATTCAATACACAATTTTGAAGACTGTATCATCTGGTCGTCTTTACAACATGCCTAACAAACTTTTAATCAGCCAACAAAACCGAACCCTCTACGATACAGCTTTAATAAAAATCATAAGTTATCATTAGTTAGATATTTCTCATCAGTATTTAGCAGCTTTGGAAGAGAATCTGTTAAGTGTGCGAAGTCGGCTGCATATAGCATGGAAAATTTTCTGAATTCTTCCTTGATCAAAAGGCTGTAAAAACAGTAAAGTAAAAATGTTTATTTAATGTGATATATAAATATTTGTGTATTTAGGCT